GCAGGTGTCACCGACGCCGCGAGGCAGGGGGGCGGGGCAGGGGAAGGGCAGGAGGGGGGGGGGGTTGAGGAAGGGGGAGGAAAGAAGGTGAGAGAAGGGGGGGGGAGGAAAGGAGGCGAGGGAGGGGAAGGAGGGGAAGGGGGGAGGAAAGGAGGTGAGGGAGGGGAAGGGGGGGAGGAAAGGAGGTGAAGGGGGAAGGGGGGAGGAAAGGAGGTGAGGAAGGGGAAGGAGGGGGGGGGGAGGAGGCGAGGGAGGGGCAAGGGGGAAGAAATAGGGGGCGAGGGAGAGGTTAGAGAAGGGGCAAGGAGATAAGGGAGTGAAGGAGAGGCGAGGGGGGGGGGGGGCAAGAGGGAAGGGAGTGAGCGACTGGCCTTGATGGCATAAGGAGGAGCTACAGAAGGGGGAGAGGAAGAAAGGTGGACGATGGGGGGGGGGGGTGAAGGAGGGGCCAGAGAAGGAGGGAAAGCAATAGGATAGGAAAAGGGAGCAAGAACAGAAGAGGGGAAAGAGGGCGAAAGAGGGAAGAAGAAGGAACCTGCAGAAAGGGCTGGGTAATAAGAGAGGAGGAGAGGAGGGGGGAGAGGGGGGGAGAGGGGAGTCACCGGGCAGTCGCAGGACCAAATCAGTGGGTAAAGGGGAAAGGCTTTAAGGAAAGAACTGAATGAAGGCGGGGGGGGGGGGGGGTTGTCCAAAGAGGGGGTGAAGAACGGACTAAGGAAGAGGGATAAAGAGAGGTTTAGAGGAAGGGGATAAAGAGACGTTTAGAGGAAGCGATAAAGAAGGTGATAAAGAGGGGTTTAGAGGAGAAAAATAAAGAAAAGTTTTAGAAGAAGGGGATAAAAAGATGTTTAGAAGATAAAGAAGGGTTTAAAGGAGGGAGGATAAGCGATGGAGGAAGATAAAAGAAGGGGTGGAAAGGGGCAGTGAGGAAAGGGATAAGGAAGAGGGAAAGAGGGATGAAGATGGTGTATGGTGAGAGGAGAGTGAAGAAGAAATGAAAGAGGGGGAAATGAAGCAAGGGTAGACAAATAGGGGAGGAGTTTGTAGAGAGCAAGGGGTACGAGGGATCTAGGAATGGGGGAGGGGCTAGGAAAAAAGGGGAGGGGCTAGGGAAAAAGGGGAGGAGCTAGGGAAAAGGGGGAGGGGCCGATAAAAAAATGAGGAGGGGCTAGGGAAAAAGGAAGAGGGGCTAGGGAAAAGGGGGAGGGGCTAGGGAAAAAAGGGGGAGGGGCAAGAAAAAAAAGGGGAGGGGCTTGGAAAAAAAGGGGGAGGGGCTTGGAATAAAAGGGGGAGGGGCTAGGAAAATAAGGGGGGAGGGGCTAGGAAACAGGAGGAGGGGCTAGGAAAAAGGGGGAGGGGCTAGGTAAAAAAAAAAGGGGAGGGGCTAGGCAAAAAGGGGGAGGGGCTAGGAAAAAAGGGGGAGGGGCTAGGCAAAAAGGGGAGGAGCTAGGGAAAAGAGGGAGGGGCTAGGGAGAGAGGGAGGGGGGAAGTAGCTTGTAAAGAAAGATAATGAGGAAAAAAAACTAGGAAAGAGGAATTGACACCTGGAAATAAATAATAGAGAAGGGACTTGAATCGGGAGAGAGGAAGAGAAGAGGAGAGCAAAGAGAGAGAACGACGGAAGAGGAGAGAGGGCAAGGGGAAAGTGGGCAACTGACCTCCACGACTTAAAAACATTATATAGGGAAGAAGAAAGGGAAGAAGGAAGGAAAGAAAAAAAACGAAACAAAATCCTACCTTTTCTCTCTCTCTCTCTCTCTCTCTCTCTCTCTCTCTCTCTCTCTCTCTCTCTCTCTTTCTCTCTTTCTCTCTCTCTCTCTCTTTTCGCTACACACGGGATCTCTTTAACACAACGTTGCTGGATGCTTAATCATCTCCTGCCTTACCACTTAGACCGACGCTTAAAGTGCTTTTCATTTGCCTTTAAAATCTTGCAGGTCGTCTTCGAGTGTCAAGGATGTGAAGAAAAAGGAGCAAACAACAACAAAAAGCTGAAGACGGAAAAAAAGAGGAGAGAGAGAGAGAGAGAGAGAGAGAGAGAGAGAGAGAGAGAGAGAGAGAGAGAGAGAGAGAGAGAGAGAGAGAGAGAGAGAGAGAGAGAGAGAAAGAGAAAGAACTGGAAAGTATATTTCAGAGAAAGAGAGAGAGAGAGAGAGAGAGAGAGAGAGAGAGAGAGAGAGAGAGAGAGAGAGAGAGAGAGAAAGAAAGAACTGGAAAGTATATTTCAGAGGAACTCATCATCACAGTTGTATCATATTTTCACGGATAATTCCCAATGAAAACCATGATCGTCGTTGTGGTAATAATGAAAGACAAAGATTGTGACGATCGAGAGTTCTGCCAATGATGCTACCAGTGAATGAAAAACTTCGAAGACAAAAGTACATCAATAAAAATGCCCATAATTTTCGAACATAAGGAAATGCTACTACGTAAGAGAGAGTATGTGAGAAATTGACAGATACAGATTGACACATACACACACACACACACACACACA